ACCTTGAAAGCCAGAGCTTGGAAGTAACATATTTAAAGGAATAACATTACTGGTACCAGATAATTTTTCAGATAACTATGTTCCCAGCCTTGTTACTTTACATAATAAGTGTGGCTGATTTTTTTTAACCGGTCATTTGGGGATATCCATTTCAATACAGTGGTGCCTCGCTTAACGATTGCCTCATTAAACGACAAAACCGCTATATGATGACTGTTTTGCAATTGTTTTTGCAATCACAAAACGATGTTTGAATAGGCAAAATTCGCTTCCTGACGATCGGTTCCCTGCTTCGGGAACCAATTCTTCGCATTACAATGTTTTTAAAACAGCTGATTGGCGGCTTCAAAATGGCCGCCCGCTGTGTAAAAGGGCTCCCTCCTGTGTTTTTGGATGGATTCCTCGCTAGACAGGCACCGAAAATGGCCGCCCCTATGGAGGATCTTCGCTGGACGGCGAATTTTTCAGCTGATTGGAACGCATTGAACGTGTTTTCAATGCGTTTCAATGGGATTTTTATTTCGCTTAACGAGGATTTCGCTCTACAGCAATTTTGCTGGAACAGATTATCCTCGTTAAGCGAGGCACCACTGTATTTTCAAGTGTATTGTTAAAAATATACTAAGCAGCAACTTCCTAGCAGCCACTAGAACAGCAAGACACTTTTAACAAAGAGTAACAATAGGTTGCTTTGGTAACAGATGGCCACCGCTGCAGTCATCTGTGCAATAGATTGTCTTTAAAACTAGAGTGTTGCCTTTCAAATATTATATTCTGAACTCTGCTGAAAGTTTGCAGGGGGTTCTGTTCACCATCTAGATCCTAGGCCCCCCAAAGAAATAAGCTCTCATGTGACTGACATTTCTAACAGTCAAAGAAGAGGAATTCTGCCCATAGCAAATTGTGCCTATTACATTATTTCAATTAACTGTGAATTGCTTTGGGCATTCTACGGGGAGGAAGGCAGCATATTAAGTACATATATACAATTTGTGTTTTAGTTTTACCTACTGTATCCCATCCGTAAGGATCAAGCGGCAAACCCAAAGCATAAGTCTTAAATTTTCTTTGAGAACCAGATTCCATTCTCTCAAATTACTTGGGGGTGTGTGTGGAACAGTGTGGGAAGGGGATGCCCCTAAATCAGAACAAGTACATACACATGATGAAGATTTACATTAATACAGTTTATTTATTTATTTATTTATTTTATTTATATCCCGCCTATCTAATCAACCAAGATTACTCTAGGCAGCTTACAACAATAAGATCTGTTTCATGTCCCCTGTATGTAAATCCAGCCATATAATCTTAGAAACGGGCACTGGTTGAATTCCTGACCCTCTATATATACTTACTGGACAACCTGATAGTAACCTTCCATAAACTCTTCCCAGTTTTCCTTTGCGAACAGCAAGGATGATCCAGATTCTCTGTCAATGTCCTGGTGCTTCAAGCTGCTCAGGTGCTCCTCGCAGGCACGAATTGCAGTCTGAATCAGATGGGCTGAGAGACGAACTCCTCTCTTATGGACAATCCCTTGCTTAGTCCCTGCAAACAAAAAGCTGTTGAGCCACTTCTCTCTTGGACACATAATAGGACTGCCTGATGGTGGGGGGAAAGACAAGAGGCACTATACTGGCAGAGTCAAGGCAACAGGCATGCGCCACAAATAGAGATATGGGCCATTTTCATAAACAAAGCTTGCATTGATTCTTCTTGCCTCCCTGTTCTAAAAGTACCATCTGTATGACTGATACTAAAGCAAAGTGTTCCGCTTATATACCTCCCCATAGTGCTTAAAGCACTCTCTACGTGGCTTACCATTCAATTATGCAGGCTACACATTGCCCTTCCCTGCGAGTTGGGTACTCAGTTTGCCAACCTTGGAAAGATGGGAGGTTGAGTCAACTTTGAACAGGCTACCTGAGTCTGCTGGAATCAAACTCAAGTCACAAGCAGTCTTGACTGCAGTACTGTAGTTTAACCACTGGGCCACAAGGTTATAATTGATACAGTGGTGCCTCGCTTGACGACGTTAATTCATTCCAGCGAAATCGCTGTAGAGCGAAAACGTCGTCAAACTAAATTAAAAAACCCATTGAAACGCATTGAAAACCGTTCAATGCGTTCCAATGGGCTGAATACCTGCTCGTCCAGCGAAGATCCTCCATAGGGGCGGCCATTTTCAGTGCCTGTAGTGTGAAAAATCACTCCTAAAAACAGTGGGGGACCATTTTCTTCAGCTGGTGGCCATTTTGAAACCTGCCAATCAGCTGTTTGCTGATCGTCGCAAAGCAAAAAACGGTTCCCGAAGCAGGGAACCGATCATCGCACAGCGAAAAAAAACCATTTAAACCATCGTTTTGTGATCGCAAAAACGTCAGCGTTAAGCGGATTCATAGTTAATGGGGTAATCGTCCAGTGGGGCACGACTGTACTAAATTTCCTTTCTGTACTGTCTACTGAACGTTTTCTCAACTTAAAGTCCAAGTTGTGTGGTGCTGGTGCAATTACAGCTTGGGTGCATCAGCTCATGGAAGAATCAGAAAGAACATTTAAGGAAGAAAATTCCAGCATGTTGTCCGAAGTGTGAAGTAACAAAACTCAAAAGTCATGGGTCCTAACACATTTATTGCCGTATAAGCACTCATGGACCAGAGCTTTACTACAAGAGGAGCCCAAGAGGACTTGTCTCGGACATTTTCATATGGCAGACTTAAAGCAGTTTTTGTTTCGCTTTTCAATAGACATATGAAGTGTACATCAGACAAAATGTGCATCTGGATTTCAAACACTTCTATCTAGTTATCTCTTCCATATGAATAACAACCACATAACCAAAAAGTCAATTGCAGTTAAGGGTCAGCTAGAGAAAATATCTCTGCTTTTTAAAATGTAGAGCATTGAAGCCATGTAATAATTCAGAGGCTGCATTCCAGATGATGCTGTTGAGAAACCTCTGACAAATGTCTGATTTTTACCCAGGGCACAGAAACAGGTTAAAGAGGGAAGACATGAGACAAATGACAAAAGGAAAACAAAGACATTGCATCTCCTGGTCAATTCTAGGTCATTTGATGCATTGTGTTAATCTCGTAAAGGTAAGGAGAAAACAGGGGACCATGTATCCCAAATGTAGTTATAATGTACTTTGGGCTCATACAGATGGAGCGTTTGTTGAACTTTATGTAGACAGATTATATCAGTATCTCCCCACCATTCAAATGATGCAAGAATTAAACTGATACCAACCATGACAAAAAATACAATAGAACTCCTTATACTCACCAGACACACTTGTGAGCAGCGTTATCAAAGGAGCGGCGGTCCTTGAGATAGCTCGGGCCCAAGCCATTTATGGTTTTATAGGTTACAGGCAACATCTATGCATGCTGGGTGCCGGTGGTAGTCTTATACTTCGTGGGCTTTCCTTTTTAACACCTAGCTCCCACCAGCTGCACATACCTGAAGACACCTGGTCACTTGGGGACTCATTCTCACTGTTGTTCAGTGCTGCCATGAAAGCAGGTTTACTCCAGTATCGTTTCACCACCACTTTGAGAAGACTCCTGGCCGCAGTCAGCTTGAAGTCCTCTACAATGGACAAGAGGGAGAACACTTAATTCCCTCTTCTGTGCTTAGAAGTGTGCCCATCCCCTACTCATCTCCAGTTTTAATCCTGTCCCATCTCCAGGGCTCAAAATGGAATTAACTAAGATGGAGAATATGACCGTTTTGGGTTTGTTTGTTTTTACAAAAACCATGTTGCATAAAAGTATGGTTTATAGGTTAATCTTTTATAACAGTCACGGCAAGAACTGGAAAAATGTAAGTAAGCTGGAACATGACATTTCTATTAGGAAATGTCACAGAGTGTTTACTGAAGTGTACTTTTAAACTTTTATAATTTGTCTTGGGTCCTGGGGTAGCGATTGAAATAAGTGTAGTAGATGGGGAAGCAATGGGGAGAAAACCTTATCATTCTAGATTGAAAATATATTTCAGTGCCTCTGAATAAGAGTGTATTGAAAAGTGCATTAAACATATTTCAGCCAATTATTCCTGAAAAAAAATATAATCCATATATTTCTTTAGAAAGTTTTCAAAATACTTTAGGAGGTATTCCATTTCTTTGCATCTGCTTTGCAGAAATGTAGCAATGGCTAGTCAGCGATATTCTCTTACTACAAAATGAATTTGTGATTAATACCTGAAGAACTCGACATGTGGTTTGAACATTCTTTTCCTTGTCATATTTGGCTCTTGGAAGAAAACACCATTCTCAATTAAAGATCAGATGTAGCTGGAGGAGGAGGATGGATCCAACAAACATCTTTGGCACAAAGAAGTGAGAGCACCCTCCCCATTTTTTTTCAATAGAGAGGCTAACGTATTAGGAAAACAAGTCTCTTCACAGCCTGTCAGCTTTAGTACCATGAATAATCATCATCCAGGGGACAGTCTTCCCCTGACCACTACCTTCATTGGGTAGACATCCCCTTCACAAGACTCCCTACTGTACTGACATATGCCCAGTGTCTCCTACAAGACAATCCTGAAGTATAAGGCATCTCTTGCCCTGAAGGGAAGGAAAGCCACGATGGTATAGAGTAGTGGTTCCCAACCTTGGGTCCATGGGGGTCCTTGGACTACATACACCTCCCAGGAAATGTGGTCAACACAGCTGCTGGTGAAGGCTTCTGGGAGTTTTAGTCCAAGAACATCTGGGGACCTAAGAACAGGAACCACTGGAATAGAGGAAACAAGATTTCTTTACAGGAGTGTCTTTCTCCCAAGAAGAGTATCGTCAACAGTCCTCACCAATAAAGGCATGTTTTTCATCCGCAGCTCCAAGACGGTAACACCGTGGGAAAAACGTATCAGCATCAGCCTCATCAAACCATGGCAGGTTTCGCAGATTCAGACACAGCCCTACCTGAGAAAAAGGGGAAATTTGTACAGCGTTTGGATTTCCACGTCCCAGTAACACTCTTCCTTTTGCCCACAAGCCCATCATTTTGTCCAGGGCCTGCAGGCTGCTGTATTTGGATTAATTTCCCCCAGTACATGATGCCATACTTAACACCATAGGGTGGCCCAGTCCTTTATGGAAGTGGATTTGGCCCACCTTGGTGGTAAAGGAGCCTGCCTTGGCAAAGTGATTCATCATCTGATCCTTGCGTAGGAAGCGGCAGTCAATGACGTCGCGCCGATTGGTCCAGATGAAGTAAGGGGTCTGGTTGCGAACCAACCGTGACTGCCAATGAAAGAGGCACAGCAGACATTGAAAGTGTAAACGCCGAGTGCAGGCGTCTTCAAACCGGTGTTTTGGAGAATCCGTGATCCCTCCCCACTGGCCATGTTGGCTGAGGCCCCAGTCCAAAAATCTAGAGTGCATCAGGAGGAGGAAAGTTGACCTAGTGCAAGAGCACAGAAGCTGGCAAATAATGGAGGAAGTACAGGAAAAATGCTGGGTGCAAGTCGTGGGAGGAGGTAAAACAAGGGCAGATGATGTTGAAGTGGAAGGATTCAAGAAGA